GGGCATTCCTCGGATCGGTAACCTGCTTGAAAGTGGTTCGAACAAACCTTCGTATTTGACGTGACTTTGAAGTGCTTACGATTGAGCAATTTTCTCCACTTTACGATATCTTTCTAAGTTGTTGGTGAGTAAAATCTAAGAATACCAACATGTGGTTTGATCGTTTGTTTTTCCGGGTATCTGCGATCGTTTGAACAGCCATAAACTGCACAATGATCACCTTTTGCCATACTTTCGTTGTAAAACTAATAATTGTTTGCCCCCCAGCGATACCACAATGCATTGCAAAAATTCGAAAAACCGCGCGCGGACTGGCAACCAGCAACATACCCATTGCGAAGACAACTATGCATGGCTATATATCAATCATTGAATGTGGTAGACTTCGCATTACAACACACTTGCCATAATCTTTCCTCGATTTAGAAGTTCTTCCAGATATTTTTGTATTCAGCTTTCAGTAAAAGTATAGATAAAGAATTCTATGAAAGGAAATTTTAAAATATAGGTAAATCAAAATGTTATAGCGGCATAGCGCTTCTAAAACTTTGAATTGCCATGACAAATTTTTAATACATCACCGTTGATTGCGAGAATATCATTGCATGCATGTCTACCCAAAACTAAACAAACAAAACAATTATTAAATTCGGTGCATGCACTGCACTGATATCATCCATGCACTGCACTGATATCATCTATAATTGAACAACTAATTTGTAATTTTACAGGCAACAATGGCGCGCAGAATGGAAAACGACGAGCAAGGTTATGATGACAGGCGTTTTGAAGGACAAGTCAGACAAGATCTACTTTGTTCGATTTGTCATGGAGTGCTCAGAAACCCAAGAACCTGTCATAATAAAGAACATCCATTTTGTCTTTCTTGTATAACACAACATCTTCGTAATTCGCACACATGCCCTGAATGTAGGGAACATCTGACTCCGGAAACCCTCAAAGATCCACCCAGATTTTTAAAGAACATTCTTTCAGAGCTAAAAATCAAGTGCGAGTACAATGCGAGAGGCTGCCCTGGCTGCGTTCTGCTTGGGAATTTACAAAATCATGTCGATCGATGTGGGTTCGCGCCCGTTATGTGTGGAAATGAAGGATGTGGGACGGTAGTCAATAAAAGAGATAAAGAAAACCATGAGAGAGATCTTTGCCAGTTTAGAATCCCCAAATGTCACGACTGCAGAGATATTAAAGGGGGACAAGCTGAAATAAAAGTTCAAATTATTGAGATTGAAAGAAAACAAGATCAAATCAAGGTACGACAGGATTTTTTCTACACATTTTTACGGATCTGACCCGACTGAACCATCGCACCAAAAAATCATATCGATACCACATCTAGCTACATTTGTGGATGTTTGCAATAAATTTGTTCCAATTTTAATTTAAGCAACCAATTTACGCTTTTAGTAATTGTTATAGAGAGAACTGGACTGGGTGTTCAACTAAAATCAGAATTGTCATTTGTAAACAATCATGCAAAACCATGTCGGATAATATGAAACTAGTTTTTCATATCTCTAACTATGGTTCTGAAATAGAACACTGGGCGTCTTCTAAGACAAGCGTTGAGTCGTTGCGAAAATATTTCTACCAATCCCCGTTGACTCGATAGCTCAATGGCAAGTTGGAATGTTCGAATCCCGCTTCATGGGATAACGAATTTTTCGTTTCATGTTCTCTGCAGTGTCAGAATAATATGAAACTATGTAATGTGATCGTCAACAAAATTTCAGTGAGATTCGTAATAGGTTTTTAGGGCGATTTCTATGAATTTATTTTTATATTTTAACAGATTATATGGTTTTATAAAAGAGATCATTTATCATTAACACTTATAATTCAGGAAAATGTTGACGGAATGAAAGCAAAACATGATGAAATGAAAGCTAAAATCACTGGAGTGGAAAGGAAAGTAGTCCAAATTAAGGTAAGACAAGACTGATCATATTTCTATTCTCGATATAGGTTTGCACGGCGATCAGTATTCTTGTTCCAGTTTCCATAAATGGTCCTTCAGGGGTAAAATGGGGACTGGCATTTGCCTATGTTTGGACTGGGGAAAATAGGATTTGGGTTGCATGGACTGCAAATATACGAGAGATACAAAAATTGGAATGTGAAAA